GAGATAAAAAGGTGAAAGAGAGAGAAAGACTGAGGAAAAAAGAGAGAAGAGAAAGAAAAAGGGAGATGGAGGAGAGAGATTGAGAGGAAAAAGGGAGAGAGAGAGGGAATAGAAAGAGAAAAGGGGAGAGAGTGAACAGAAAAAAGGATGACAGAGAGAAATAAATGGACTGAAACCAAGAAAGAGAATAAAATAGGAAAGAGAGAAAATGGAAAAAAGGAAGATACATAGAAAAAAGAGAGGTAGAAAGATGAAGGCAGAGAAAAAAGATAGAAGAGAGAGGGGAGAAAAAAACACAAGAGAAAAGGAGAGATTGAAGAGGAAGAGGGGGGTGATAGAGACAGTAACTGAGAGAGAAAAAAGAGAGAAGAGAAAGAGTGAAAGAAAGAATTCCTGAAAGAAAGGAAGAGAGAGAGGTGAAAGGGAGAAGAAAAAGAGAGGCGGGGCGGGTTGGGGGGGGGTGTTATATGTGTGTGCCCCTTTAACTTTGATCAAATCCCACCTTAATATAATCCACGAATAAAGATGACCAAACTACCACTAAAGAATGTGGGGGGAGGGGGAGGTGTAATTGACAGACAGAGATCAGCTGATCCTCAACACTATACAGAGCTCTCTCTCTCTCTCTCTCTCTCTCTCTCTCTCTCTTTCTCTGCATGTGCTTAAAGCTGATTGGCTGTGAGAAAGTAAGAAGTATCTTCACACGCAATACAACACCTGATTTAACCTTGTGACCTTTAACCTTCTGACCAGATCTCATCCAGTCAATTAGGCTGATGAATTAGTGAACACGAGTGCTAGTTTTACCTGATAAGGAATCTGGACGGGCTGGAGTCAGTTTACTGTGTAAATCCTTAAACAGTTCTTTAAAATGTGAAACTCAAACTAAATCATCATCACATCTTCATCTTAAAGCAGCGTTTAGAGTGCAGTGTGGGTTGGGATGAGTTAGACTGTGAAATGTGTTGTACACAGTCAGTGCAGTTTATATTAGAGGTGTGCAAAAGTCATTACATTGAGATGGAATACGACAGGAAATTTTAAATGATGTGATATTATATGATTAACATGACCAATAACATAAACTCTGCTCAGAAAGGTTTATTGGCTTGACCATATTTTACATTTTTATATGTTACAGCAGTGCTAAAACATTAAAAGTCTACACTAAAAGTCTAAGTTTACTGACTTGGACTGAGTATGAAAGTACGTTGACAGTAATACACGTCTGAAGTCTTGTTGTTATTCTGTATTCAATATCATGCCCAGATTAGGAACTCCAGGTTTAAGCTGATTCTCTCTGGGACAAATGATTGGCATTTTTAAAAATTGCTGCTATTGTGCCTTAAACAGAAATGTTCCAGAGCTGATGTGCTTTGCCACATCTACATTTTCCCCTGAATATCACTGCATCCTCTGAACTGTGAGGTCATTTAGCAGACTAAATATGAATGTCGCTACAGACATGCTAACACTGCTATGCATTTTACTGACATCATAAATCTGCCTCACCAAAATAGAACACACAAGCCAGCAAGCTTTGTTCAGTGTTGTAGTTGCTTTGGCAGTAGAGGTCTACAGTCAGCTGGTCTTGGTAAATAGTGCAGTAGACTTAAATTCATTATTTCAATGCACAGCAGTGTTTGCTTGCTCCTAGTGTGTATGTAGCAATATATTTTGACTGCCAAATGACCTCGTTATCCAGAAGGTCTAGTGATTCGCAGGGAAAATGTACACTGGACAAAACGTATCAGGTGGCATTTTTTTTTCTCAAACCAGCTTAGGCATTGAGTCCCCAATATGAGACACCAATTACAGAATGAGGACTTTAGACATATAATTGCATTTTATGAGGTACCACAGTCCTTAGTCTGTCTCTGTTTGAACAGAAATAAGTCACAAAATTAAACTTTAAGTCCACACAGTGATTTGTTTTATTTTTAATTACAAAAAGATTTGAAAAGAATCCAGAATAGCTGCACACGCAATCTCAAAAATAACGGTAGTCACTGGGACAGTACCCCTCTTGTAACTGGGGTGGGACCCTCAAGGGTACATCTCAGTACCTTTAGTCAGGAAACATAACTGTACCACTGAAATTATATTTTCTAAGTCGTACTGACTCCACACCCCGTCTCGTCTCCAGGCTTTTTATTTTATTATTCTGTTTTAAAACATTAGGTTATAAAAAGGTACAAATGTGTACTTTTCACCTGGAAAAAAACTTATTTAAGCTACACAATTGGACCTTAAAACCACAGTTGTACCTTTGAGGGAACATTTACATTGTTTGTACCTTCATGAACAAAAAATGTACCTGTACAGAACCTTTATTTCTAACAGTGTACAGTCGTATGCAGAAGTTTGGGCACCGCCGGTTAAATTATATTTTGTTGATTTTTTAAAAGAAATTAAGTTTAATCCTCAGCAGAGAACATACTTCTGCTCATTTAAATGCACAATCACTGTTTATTTGCCAAATTTAACATATACCTTTCGTAGTGTGTGTTTTTCTGTATGTTAAACTCAAGCAAAGAAAATTAGAAATTGTGCTCTAAAATTTGCAGATAAACGTCATATTTAAATTTGGTCTCAATAGAAGATCCCTTATTTTCACTTTTATTAATGGGACATTTGGGGACAAATGCTGTAATTTAGCATTTAAGTATTGATGTTGTGTATGCCTTTGTATCTTTCTCTACTTCCCTAAAATACAAGTCTTTCTTACTCTCTCTCTCTCTCTCTCTCTCTCTCTCTCTCTCTCTCTCTCTTTCTTTCTCTCTCTCTCTCTTTTTCTCTCTTTTTCTGTCTGTTGTCACTGTATTCTAAATATCAGAGCCTTCATACTACGCTCAGACAGAAAGAGAGAGAGAAAGAGAGAGAGAGAGAGAGAGAGAGAGAGAGGGAGTGAGTGAAAGTGAGAGAGCGAGCAGTGGGCACCATGCCAAGATGCCCTCCTCTCATTTCTGCCACCTCCTCTTGTGCCAGCAGTCTGGGCGCGATGCCAGACCCTAAGTGAATGAGTCCGCTGGGTGCCAACTGCTTGCTTCAGACACTGCCATGGCGGTCAGGAGCGGTCAGGAGTGAGCATCAGAAGGCCCAGGCAGGCCCAAGTGCTGTGCTGCTGCCACAGCGGGCACACTGGCGCTCACGCACTGTGATAGCGACCATTAGCTGGCTTACTCTCAGTCTGCTGGTGTTAGTGCCGCTGGCCAATGAAATGTTTAATAACGCACTGTTCATTAATTAAATCTTTAATAGTGTGCCCAGCAGAGGTAGTAGGTCTCATGAGTTATTTAGTTAAAATCATAAAGGCAGCATTGCATAAATAGCTTAAATATCATATTTGCATATATGCTGTGGTGCTAATGTTTGTTTTTTGTGATGAAAAGTTATTATTGTGCGTATGGTCTTGTTTTGTGAAAAGAAAAAACATCCTTCACATTTTTGGCATTGAGACCAATAGAAATAGAATCATTGTAATTATTATGTAACATACAGAACTGTGCAAAAGTCAGAGACCACCCTTCATTTGTTTCATTTCCAGTCAAAACAGCCCATACAAGTCATTCATTTATCTGGAAAAGTTTCTGAGGAGATTAGATAAGATCCTCTTGCATAAGGAAGGGGAAAGTCAAAGGAAAATAAGTGGTAAAATAAGAGTTTCCCCAGTCTGGAGTTCAAAAAAATATTAAAAATATAGAGAAAATGGGGCTCACAACTGTGCAAGACCTGGTAGACCACCAAAACTGACATCATAGACAGCACTGAAAGCTTTTATCTTTGAGACAAAGGAGAAAATCAAGCTCTACTCTTGCTTCAGATCCTCCACAGTGAGAAGACAACTCAGTGCTATACGCCTGAAAGGATTACTAAAATAAGAATATTTGCAAGTCAAACAAAGCTGCAGGTGTTTTCACTAATGCACTGTCCATCTTCAGACCTCATAATCGTTGAATGTATTTGGGATTGGTAAAATTGTGACAAGCCTAAAATGCAACTAACTTCTAAGACTGAATTTTGGAGGTGTGGAAAAATGTCCTTGCAGATTTATTTGAAAAAACTGAAAGCAAGTCTCATGAAAAGAATGGAAGGTGCAATAAAGGCAATATGTGGACACACTTAATACTTCCCTGTGATTAAGGCTTCTCTGTGATTTTCTGCTTCACCCAATACTGAAAAATGAATAACGTGTCCTGGCCTTAATGACCGTGAATAATGGAAACAAAATAACTGGATAATTTCTAGTACAGGCTAAAAATATAAACGAAAATGCAGACTTACTTTGATCTGCTTTAAGCTTTGGCTCAACTATGGCCGCTTTTCTCACATCTCTGGCAGGAAACTTTGCCTCAAAAGTGGAATAGTTTCTTGTAAAATGTCTCTCAATGTTTGACTTTTTACGAGGCTGAAGTCAGCTTCTCATTCGCCAGCTTCTTGTTCAGATTTTCCCGTTCCGCCTTAAATGGTGCCTGAGGGGCCTGAATGTAACTGCTGCACCATTTAAAGTGGAACAGGACAATATGAATGAGAAGCTGGCAAATGAGAAGCTGAGTTCAGCTTTGCGACTTTTTGACAGTTTCACGATGCAGATTAAACATATCAGGAAACCAGCTGGAGTGATTATAAATGCAAATAAGTCTATTACTCTCCAAATGATCAATGTTCATCTTAAATCTTTCTCTTTGCCTTTTTTGTTAGCTACAAGCTAGATGGGATTGTTGTCTACATTCAGGGTTAAAGGGTGAATTAGCAGATATAAGCAACATTAACTCCAGCATTTAAGACCATTTATTGTTAAATCTGTGTTAGAATGACCAGCAGAGCTTTATTTTACTGCAACAGAGGATTATTTTATTTTACCTAAAAATCTAATTCTACTGTGGAGCCACAACAGGGCAGTAAAGGAGCCGCGTGTTGTCGACCACTGGTATAGCAAAAAAACCCTGTATGCAACTGAGTGCCAGCTGCAGCTTTAACCAGTGTCTTTCTTCTTACAGGTGACCCGGTAGTGGCATCCTCCAGTCTGGACTGTGGGGGGGTTGGCAGGGGAAACAGAAGACAGGAGGGCTTACAGTGTACGGAAGCGACTTTAAGATCACCCTTAGTAAAGTAATATGAGAAGCAAAGTCTCGTATTCCCATCCCATTCATGAAAATGAAGACCGTCCTAGTGGTCAGCTCTCCTCCTTCCCCTGCTCACCCCCCTCCCCCCTGGCTGTGCTGTCTTCAGTGTCTGCCACAAATCTCCTCAGCGCAGGTACAAGGACGAAAGACTGTCTGCTCGCCGCAGTCCACCAGGCATGGGGATTATATCTGACAGAAGAACGCTCACAGTGGCGGACGGCCCACCTCTAACGTCGGAAGTTATTTTATCTTTTTACTTTCTGCCTCTCCCCACCGCTCTGACGTTCTGTTGTGCTCTTGGATTTTTTTTTCCCCCCGTCTGTCGATGCTTCCTGTAATTGCACCTTTTGTACCCAAAACGAAAGGTGACATTTTTGCTTCCTCTTCCAGAACCTTGTCCTTCTCAGCATTTTAACTTTGGAAAGTAGAACTGAAGTTCTGGACTTACTGACCATCTGTAGATTATTTTGTTCCTTTTTCTAATAAATAAATAATAAGTACACTTTTTGACCCGAAAAGGACTCAAATAAAACAGTAGATGTTATGGTATAATTCTGTAAAAGTGTAAAAGGTTATATAAAGAATCTGATTCTTAGAATCAATCTAAATACATGAAAAGAGCTCTAACAGTTTTAATATCGATGTTTTTAACCAGCCTGGTAACTGCTATTGAGTACATGTGTCAGTATTATCTAAAATAAATAAAGCTATTTCAAAGAATAAATCAACTGAATGTTCTATTTTCAAAAATTAAGCAGTAAAAGCCTATTCAGGTTTTGGGTTGCAGACTTTTACTGGAGTATTTTGGGCTGGAAAACTGATTCAGAAGCTGGAGAAGCAATTCTAAACCAGCATTTGTGTGTTTTCAGTTTGCATAGGCTCTTTCACCTCACATCAAACAATGCAAACATTTCAAATTCAGTTTTTCATCTTTCATACAGAATAATATTAGAAAATAACAATAACAAGGGAAAAATAACAAAGACTTGGAGAGGGAAAAAACAGGTTTTGCTGAGCCCATAGCTTTTTCCCCTAAGACTTTTACCAAAGCGTAAACACTCTGGCTTTTATACGTCTCCCCCCCTAAGGTACTATTCTTATTGGACTAATCTCAGGATAGAATTCGATCAGTGCTTTGAGCTTGGGAGTAATCCTTAGAGCGTAGTTAGTGCATGTCATTAAGAGATTATAGAAAATAAACCGGGAATAAAATTCAGATGCACACCGACCCAAAGAGAGAGTGGAATAAAATGGGCTTGGGGTGTGTCTGTGTCATATGGAGTGGGTCAAATCAGTGCTAAAGTGCTACCAAGGGACTGTTACCTTTGGAATGGTTCCTTTTTAACTAATTAAGTAAAATGCAGTACTGTGCAAAAATCAGAGGCCTCCCTTAAGTTATTTAATTCCAGTCAAAATGACCATTATTCATTTTTCAGGAGATATTTCTGAGAAGTCTCGATATAAGACCACCATAAGGAAGTGGAAAGTCGAAAGGAATGTAAGTGGAAAATAAAAACAAGACTTCCAAAACTGGACTTCAATAAATGATTAAAAGAGACAGAGAAAATGGGAGTCCTAACAACCGTGAAAAACCTGGTAGACCACCAAAACTGTCACCATCAGATAAACAGTGCTTAAAGCTTTCATCTTTGAGAGAGAGGAGAAAATCAAGCTCCACTCTCGTTTCTGGTCTGTCCAGTGTTTCTGTCCATCCTTCCACTGTGAGAAGACAACTCAACACTATGAGTCTGAAAAGAATGTGTAGCTGTCAAGAAGCTGTAACTGTGAAAAGGAAATAGACAAAAAAAAAAGAAGAAGAATATCTGCAAATCAAACAAAGCAGCTGCTGATGTTCTAAGACCAATGAACTGGCAACCCCAGAGCTCCACATCATTGAAGTGTTTGAGATTATTTGGATCATGAGAGGCAGAAAATGTAACCAATTTCTAAAGGCCATCATGAAGTGAAAGTGATGTGAAAAAACAATACGAATATGTTTGGACATTTATTTTTTTTACGTCAAAACTTCCTGACACGACACAATTTTTTTGGAATTGTGCTGCAAAAACATGGCCAGAATATTTATCAAAAATAGGTATATTGGCAGAATATATATCACCTATATCAAAAAAATCCTTTGCTGTTCACAAAATGGACAAACTGTGACAATTTGCAGGATTCTTTCCGCTTTAGAAAAGTGAAAATAGAAAGTAGAGAGTTTCTCGGCCTCATTCAGGAGCTGAAACTTTAGCTCCACACTTAACAAAGAACAAAACAAATGGGCTGACTCTCGTTTCAAATAAGATCAGATTCTTTGCTGCCAGTAGAACAGACAAACAGTGACACTGAGCTTGAAAAAGTGAGAATAGCATGG